AAGAGTTGCAACCCATGCCAGGCTCGTTCCAGGCAATGGGTTCTTTCCTGCTCCCCAATCCTGCCTCTCCCTGGTCTTCAGAGCACCAGGTGGTTCCAGGACTCGTGCCTGTGAACCCACCAGCTTTGCCAACAGTCCCCCCAGCTCAGCAGCTTCACACCCACCCAAACCTTCCAGCCACAGGTTTTGGCTCTTCCCAAGGTTGGAAGGGACCCCAGGACATCCCAACACCCCCATGCTGGGAGCAGGGATGATCCCAGAGGCAGAGCAGGGATGATCCCAGAGGCAGAGCAAGGTGCTCAAGGCAACATTCCCTAGGGTCTCAAAAATAACTTCCAAGGACAGAAACAGGAAACACCTTGGAAGCTGCAGAGGCCAAGGGTACCTGGCTGAACACAAACCGACCCACCCAGCACCCCCTGGGAGCCACACACAGACCCTGCAGTTTCAAGGGAATTCACAAAACTTCCTCAAGTTTAGCCTCTTTTTTTTCCACATTTTTCCACCCCTTGCATGAGTTTGTGGGTTTTTTTCAGAATTATTTCTTCCCTTAAATAAAAAAAAGGTGATCATAGAACATCAGTTATTACACCTAAACAAACATCAGTTTCCCTGCACATCAGTCACTAGTGGGGGTTTTTGTGCTAGAAAAAAAGGCAGTGCCTGATTTTTTTTGTTAATATGCTCAACTCAGATCTAGTCACTCACTCCAGGCACAAGCTCCAGGTGTTCCCCACAGCAAAGAGCAGGGTCCTCTGGAAGAGGCTCCTCCCAGAGACCTGTGGCCTCCAGAAGCAGGTTCCTGCTGCTCTGAGAAAAGGCGCTTCATTGGGCTAAGAAAAAAACAACAGAACACCCCAAAACTCTGATCTCTGACAAGTAGCTCAAGTTTTCATTACAAAACCCAAACCTGCAGTTTACATTGGTAAGAGAAACAATAAAAACACCAGGCAGAGATGTACAAAAAAAAGCCCAACCCTGAGGGTCAGCAGGTCTCAGTCACTCTGGAACAAGAGGGCTGGAAGGCAGAGGAGCTCAGGATGGTACAAAGTGTGGTCAGCAAAACCCAGGGTTTGGCTTTGTATTTTTGGGGTTTTTTTCCAACATGTTTGTTGTGGTTTTCCATGCACTAAGGCACCAGGGAGTCACAGTCAGGCAAAGCAGATCTTCCAAGTTCAAACACTTACCAGGTCTTAAAAGAGATGGGAGAGGAGCAAAGAGCAGGAGCTGGAGGAGAGCACCCGTGAGGCAGCAGCAGAGTGGGAAAAGTTGGAAGAGGAAGGATGGAATTGCTCCTTTTGGATCCAACAGGATGGAGAAAGCCTCACTGTGGGTATGAAATCCTTGTCCACAGCCAGGCCAACCAACCAGTGCCACAAAGTCACATCCCTCTGACTCCAGAACTACCTTAAAAAGGTAACTTGCTTTTACCTCCTGAAAAACACCTGCCCTGTTTCCAGGCCTCCCCACAACCAACAAGGTCATTTTCTCCTTTAAAAAAGACACAGAGGGGACAAGGAGGGGGGATTACAGCAGGAAGGAGCTGCCAACTCTCTTTAATAGCACATCACTCTGTCTAGCAGAGAAGTCAGCAAAGCTCAAACCTTACCAGGCTGACCAGGAATTACAGGGATTGTACAACTTGGGAGCACTGCACAAACACCACTGCCAGGCTGCAGCTTTGCCAAGCACAGCAGCTGCTCACACCTTGGGTGTCCCTTCTCTCTCTTGGTGTCTCAAAGCTCTTCACAAAGATTCTTCAGCCTCATCTTCACCAACATCTCCCACAAAAGCACTTTTGGCCAGAGTAGCTCTGGGAAGAATCCTCAGAGTCACCAGGGAATCACATGGGAATCCACGTGTGTTTTATCCTCACCAACACAGTTGGCATCTTCCAAGATGTTCCAGCAAGTTGGAGGTCACTGCTGTGGCTAAAAGGGTTTGTTGGTTGCTTAGGTCATTGGTTGGGGTTTTTTTTTTGAGGCAGTTACAAAATTCTCAACTACTCAGTGTTGGATCCACTCCTTGTGTCAGGAACTTGGTGCCTAATTCAGACCTGCCAGGGGAGCTGTTTGTTCCCTGCTCTTCCCAAGGTTCTGCCCTGCAGCATCCGGGCCCAGCAACAGTTTGTCTCCCTTCATCCCAAAGCCTGGAGCACTGGCATCCCCTGTTGGATAGGGGTGCCATGGGGAAGGGGGGCAGCAGAGACCCTCCAAGCTCACAGCCACTGCCACCAGGATCATCCAGAAGCTCTGGAAAAGTATCTGTGCTGTTTCTTCAATCGGTGTCTGGGATTTGTGAAGGAGGGGGGGGAAAAACACAGCTCTAAATGCAACAATTCCAACTAACACAGTGTGAAGGCAGCTCCTTGCTAAGCAGACAAGACATCATGACTAAGCTACACCTTTCCTGTCCCCTCCAGGTGACAAAGCTCATTTCCTTTCAGTCTCTGCACCTCTGGATCCACCCTGATCAACGTACAGGTCTCCATTGAAGAGTCAGTGAAGGGCTCTGGGCAACAGGCACTGAACAGTCCAAAGGAGGTTGGTCTTCATCACAGACCACGGAAGCTCACATTTTGATCAACTCCCAGTCCTGGGCTCCACTCCAGACATGCTGAGAGGGCAGGAAAACACGACTCTGAGCCAGCAGTTGGTGGAGAACCAGCTGAAGCTGCTGAGGTGCTCAGGGCTCATCCAGCTGAGCACTGGGTGCCCACCCAGCTCCATCCCATCCACAGACACTGCTGGCCAACCCCTCAGAGCAGGAGAGGAACATCCTTCTATTCCAACGGAGAAGGTGCACTCATCAGTCTGTTCAAGCCCAAGGGACAGGTAGAATTTGAAGAGCAACCAAAGCAACACCCCTTTCCCTGGGATCCTCCACGGCCACCGATGCGTGGGACAACGTGGGCTGCCAGGTGACCCTGGCAGGACCAGAACAACAACTGACAGATCCAGCTGACAGCAGGTTTGCTCAGACCAACAGAACCCTCAATGACACCCAGAATTTACAATTATTTTTTTAAAGTGTGGTGCCAGTTTCAGATCACTTGAGAATAATCCACACCTGGGCTGGGGAGGAGTTAACCACATGTCACGAGTCAAGGGGCACACGAACTTCAAAGCCTGCCCCACCTCTCCCACCCCAGGCCCCCATCAATCTGATTGTTCAGGTAACAGATCCAACCAAACCTGTGAAAGTGACAGTGTATATTCTTTTTAGAAAGGGGGAACTAAGGTTATACTACATCATTGACTCGTTCCATCGCTGCTCCGGAAGTGTTAGGGCATAAATAAAAAATGGGGGGGGGAGAAAAAAGAAATAAAAATAAATACATTGGCTCCTATGAAGTCAGAAGTGGTTTGGGCTGCATAGTGGAGGGGTGAGAGATGGGGGCAAAAATTTACACACTTGGAGACAAAACAGGAAGCGCCTGCAAAGTAGGAGAGGAGGAAGCCAAGAGTTTAAGTGTCCTCGTTCATGTCCTGGCTGTCTGTCCGAGCGATTTTCCGGGGTGGTGCAGAGTTCTCACCTTCAATTTCCACTTGCTCTTGATCTCTCTTCTTTGCTGCGTTCTGTGGGGACAGAGAGAGCCACAGTGAGACTCTGCAGAGCCTCAGAGTCGTGTTGGTAGAAGGTTTTGCCTGTGGGAGGTTCTGGTGGGCTAGAGCTGGGACAGGCACTGAGGGTTCTACCCAGCGCTGAACAATCCTTCTGGATCGTTCTTCTGATCTGCAGGTGGGACTAGAGCACCACTGATCTCAGCACCTTTTATGTACAGATCTCAAACAGTGCAGGAACATGAGTAAGATCCTCTTTCCCACTGCTGAGTCAGACCCTGAGCCTGCAAGATTCTCCCAGAGTCTCTGCCACATACAAAGGCCCCTTTCAGCCTCCAAGTTCCTCATCATTTTCCCTCTCTCCACGTTCCTCTGCAGCCTCTGCTCAGCCCATGGTCACATTCACCACTTCCCCAACTCCCCTCCTAAGCCAGTGCTCCCAGCCAGGAATCCCAGCCTCCAGCACCAGCACACACTCCTTTGTGTGCTCCTCATGGGAGAGCCCTGATCCTGCCCCCAAGGCACTTTCACAGCCTCCTTGGTGCCTCCAAACTCTCCTCCCAACCGTCCTGGGGGTGAAAGGAGCTTCACCCTCCTGCAGCAGAGACACTGAGCACAGGGAGACCAACCTGACAAGGTGACTGAGGAAAAACTGCAGATGATGATCAACTGCAGCCCCCACCTTCTAGACTAATCACTGAGTCGACGTCCCTCAGATTGAAAGAAAAAAACCAGCCTTTTAAAGAGCAGAGTTGTGGCTCCTGACACCACCTGGGCCTGATCACCCCTCATCATGAATCCTCAACACCTGGTTGTGATCAGCAGGCAACTCCAGCAGCCCCAGCCAGCAAAGCAAGGCCAAATAATACTAGGAACATAAGATGCAGAAAACACCAACGTACCTTTTTGTCCCACTGCTGGTGTAAGTAACGCAAAAGTATATTTGTCTTTTCTGTAACTATGACTGGAGGGAAAAGAGAGAGAGAGAAACATGGGGAGTCATTTTAAAGAGGAGTTTTGAACTGGTTTAGGTATCACTCCACCACATCACACCCCAGGCAGGGGCCTTCTCAGTAACAGGGACCCTGATCACTTCACAAGGGCAGAGGAAAGGCACAGAACCCAGTGACTGGACACACACAGTGACAGTTCAATAATGTCCTTGTAGAATCATGGAATGGTTTGGGATGGAAAGGACCTTAAAGATCATCCAGTCCCAACCCCCTGCATGGGCAGGGACACCTCCCACCAGCCCAGGCTGCTCCAAGCCCCATCCAACCTGCCCTTCAACACTGCCAGGGATGGGGCAGCCACAGCTTCCCTGGGAAACCTGGGCCAGGCTCTCACCACCCTCACACTCCACAATTCCCTCCTCATGTCCAACCTCAATCTCCCTCTTCCAGTTTTAATCCATTCCCCCTTGTCCTCTCCCTCCCTGCCCTCGTCCCAAGTCCCTCCCCAGCTTTCCTGGAGCCCCTTCAGGCACTGGAAGCTGCTCTTAAGGTCTCCCTGGAGCCTTCTCTTCTCCAGGCTGAACACCCCAACTCTCCAAGCCTGTCTCCAGAGCTGCCCCAGCCCTTGGATCATCTCCATGGCCTCCTCTGGCCTCTCTCCAGGAGCTCCATGTCCTTCTTATGTTGGGGGCTCCAGAGCTGGACACAGTACTTAATATTAGAACAGAACAAAGTCACTAAAACCCTCACACTTGAGGGGGACAGACTTACTTTGCTCAGATGGGTATTCTCTCGTGGGAAGATACACCGAGGGTCGTCTGTTCTATAGAAGAATTGCAACAGTTACAGACCAGAGATGGCAAAAAAGCTCCAGTTCTCATGTTTTTCAGGACCTAAGGCCACCCTCAAAGAACATAGATACAAAGCAAGCACCACAGATGTGGTTTGGCTGATGTGAGGACACATTCCTCACCAAAGCAAAGAGGAAGTTTTCTTGGCCCATCTCGGCTCATGAACTATCAGCTCTGATCACATGTGCTTTTGAAGAGGTAAAAAGAGACTAATTTTTAAGTTGATTTCACTCTGTGCAAGGAAACCTCCCCCCAAAGCAGGAGGACATGGCAATACTTACTGATGCTTTACATACAGAGTCTGCATGGAACCTGCTGAAGTTGCTTTTGTTGTAGACTGGTAATCCTTTCAAAAAATCTGCCTGAAAAGACACAGGATGGAAAGGAAGAAGCAGGTGAGGAATCAAAGAGTGATGTTCTGGTTGGTTTGTGCTGGTTCCTGAAGGAGTCAGTCCTGGCAGTGACAGCAGGAACCCAGGGATGCTGCCAGGGAGAGAGGGGGTGGTTGGACACTGAAACCTGCCCCAAATGGCTTTAGTAATAATGGAATCACAGATTGGTTTGGGTTGGAAGGGACCTTAAAGATGATCTAGATCCAAACCCCCTGCATGGGCAGGGACACCTCCCACCAGCCCAGGCTGCTCCAAGCCCCATCCAACCTGCCCTTCAACACTGCCAGGGATGGGGCAGCCCCAGCTTCCCTGGGCAACCTGGGCCAGGCTCTCACCACCCTCACAGTAAAGAATTTCCTCCTCATATCCAACCTCAATCTCCCTCTTCCAGTTTTAATCCATTTCCCACAACAGAAGCCAATCCCCAGCCTCAGAACTGGGCTTCTTACATCCCCAAAGATCAGTAATTTGGTTAGAAAGCTGCTAATTACATCTCTTCTGGTGATTAAAAAGAGGTATGTGGCCAGTGGGGTGAGCTCTGAGGGAAGGGAGACCCACAGTGTGTGGATCCAAACACCACAGATAATCACAGAATCGTTTTGGTTGGAAAAGACCTTTCAGATCATTCAGTCCAACCATTAACCCAGCACTGCCAAGGCCACCACCAAACCATGTCCCTCAGCACCACAGCTACAGCTTCCGAACCCCTACAGGGATGGGGACTCTACCACCACCCCAGGTAGCACATTTCCAGGGCCTGACAACCCTTTCCATGAAGAAATTGTTCCAAATATCCAACCAAACAGAGCAGAACTCACAAGCACAAACTAAGGCAACAAAACCCTCATCTCACACTTACCAGCCAACTTCTTTTCCTGAAGGATCATGTCCCTACACACCCTCAGGGCTACTGATCCACTCCAAAATAATAACAGCAACCCCAAGCTGTGATGGAAGTGGCCAGATCACCCCTGACAACAAGCCTGTTAACATAGGGCAGCAGAGTTATCTGCTGAGCAGGGGTGGGAGCCCTGCAGAGCCCCCACAGTTGAATTAAGCCACAGCAGCATGAAACAGGAATTTCCTTCTCCAAAGGGGGAAAAAGAGGAACATTATGAGAGAAAACTGAGCTTAGAAATGTGTGCTGGAGCTGCTCCATTCAGAGACAAAGGAAGGTGCCTTTAAAGTGAAAATGGGTGATACATGTAAGATGTGAGAAGCAGAGAAGTGAGAGGCCTGAGATGGTCCCTCCCCTAGAACCACAACAACACAAATACCAAAACTCACATCCTGTCACACCAAACACCAATGGATCCTACTCCAGGTCAACATCACCTCCTTCATAAGCCACTTCAACAGGACAGCCAAGCAGGAGATGAAAAGCCACTTCATTTCAGCCATAAAGGCAAGAAATGAATGGACCCACCAGGGTGGGAGGCCTTGTTGCCATTTAAAGAGAGGCCATAATTTTTATGAATGCTGCATCTTTAATTGAAAACAAAAAGCTGGGCTGAGCCAAACCAGAAAAATATTATTCATACTTTTGTTCTGACAAAGACTCCACTGGCATCCCAGCTGCCAGGTTCAACCCTTCCCATACCCCTGGTTTGAGGGACAATCTTGCTGAAAACTCCACACCTGAGGGTTCCAAGAGCACAGCCCAAGTTCCTCCTGCCCACCTTTAACTCCCAGAGGGAACACCACTTTTTCCCCTGAGCCTTCACTGCCTTTGCTTGTGAATTCCCCAGGACAGAGTCTATTCCTTGCACTTCCAGGCTAAGGAACCTTTGAAGAACTTCCAAAGACACAGCCAGACTTTTCCTCCTCACAACCCAGATTTAGGAATTACCTGACTCCTTTCAGAAGGTTTGAGGATCTTGACAAACACCCCAGCACATTTCAAAGCCTCTCACCTTCCCCTTGCACTACATTTTCAGGCTTTTCCTGACAAAATCACCTGCTCTGCTCCACCAGCCCCATCCAGGGGGTGACAGACACAGCCCTGATGGCTTTTATTGCAGGATTAAAGCCTGACAGCAACTTGGGTTTATTGCCACTTCCATGAATGGAAAATAACTGCCCTTATCCAGGGGCAGACACACTCGAGTAGCTCTGCAATGAGCTGCAGCTCAGCCCAAGTTCCTCACTCCAGTCTATTCCCAGCAGTGCCCACGTTTCCCTGGGAAGGGGCTGGGTGAGTGGGACCATGGCTCTTCCCAGGAATTCTCACCACAGTCTTTTCATGGACTTTTATAGCAAAGGGAGTTCTGTCCAGGAAGCTGCAAAAATACTGTTAAAATTACTAGTCTAAATGCAATTTAAATGGTCAACATGGGGGGTTTTCCCCCCTCAAATATACTAGGAACCAAAGCTGGATATAATCAAAGAATCCCAGACTGGTTTGGGTTGGAAGGGACCTTAAAGATCATCAGGTTCCAACCCCCCTGCATGGGCAGGGACACCTCCCACCAGCCCAGGCTGCTCCAAGCCCCATCCAACCTGCCCTTCAACACCCCCAGGGATGGGGCAGCCACAGCTTCCCTGGGCAACCTGGGCCAGGCTCTCACCACCCTCACACCCAAGAATTTCCTCCTCATGTCCAACCTCAATCTCCTTCTTCCAGTTTAAAACCATTACTCCTTGTCCACTCAGTACAATTTTGTGTCCCAAGTCCCTCCCCAGCTTTCCTGGAGCCCCTACACCAGTGCAGACTGGGAAGCAGGAAGGTCCCCACGCTCAGACAACACCTGGAGACCACAGCTCCAACAGCCACCAGTGTCCCCCAGCTCTTGGCCACTACTTTTCCTGCTCCTAGACCAGCAGCCACTGGCATGGACCAGATCCAGCCCCTCCAGCCCTGCCAGGACTCAACCAGAGCAGAACAGCAGAGACACAACTGAGCCTGGAGAGGGACATTTCTCCAGCTGAGGCTCCAGGCAGCACACCCACTCATTACCAGCCCAGCTGCACAGTCAGGTTGTCAGTGACACAGACCATTCCTCAGATAATGACCAGATATTGTCAGACAACCACAGTCCCACTGGATTTCCACACATTTCCACAGCTGACACGACCTCAGACATCACCAAAAAAGCTCCCTGAGGGGGAAATGCCCAGAGTCCTGGTCCTGGATATTCAGAATTAGACAAGACTCCAAGTGCAATGATCCTTATCTGCTCCAAGGGCAGCTGATCAGGAGCCTGGGCAGGTCAGGGCTGTGTTTGCACACCAGATCACCCCTCCCCTGGGGCATCACGTGGGGACAAGCTCCCCCCAACCCCCCCTCTGCCACTTTTTAACCAAGAAAAACACACCCCGGCCAAGCTGACCAAGTGTCCTGAGTGGGAGGGAAAAACCAGCCTCTGGACCAAGCAGATGCCTCATTTCTTTTGAAGAAAGGCAAATATATATTAAAAAAAAAACCCAACACCCCAAAAAAACAGCAAAACCAACCCACCAAAACAAGCACAATTATGCAACCATGACACTAGTTCCCTTTATCATTTGGGAAGTGAGGAGACAAGACACATCTACTGTGTCAACAAGGGTGCTCAGCTTCCCAGGAAGACAACAGTGCTCACCCAAAGGCAGAAAGGGGAAGAAAACCACATATCCATGTCCCAGCCTCAGCTTTTCAAGGAGCTGTGGTAACAAGGCTCAGCCCAGGGATGCTGAGAGCAGAGCTCTGCCCCAGCGTGGTGGATGGGGGTGAGGGGGAAAACCACCCCACAGCCCTGGGAATGGCCAGGGAAGCTCCCATCACCTGCACATGGAGCCCATATGGACACCACTTGTTTGTCCCTTCGACACTGAGCTGGCAGGGAGGCAGAAAGAAAACTCTTCCTCCAATAATGACCAGGTTGCTACCAAGGGAGGGGGACTGGAAGGCTCTGGGCTGTGACAGTCACCACCAACCGAGCAGCTGCTGCTGCTTTGGGGGCACAGGAAGGACTGAACATCCCCCGACAGCCCCGGGGACAGGGGGAGCACCCAGACCTCCGGGGGGCTCCGATTTCCTTCCCGTGCCCCCCCAGCCCTGGGGCTGGAGGAAAGGCAGGGCAGGCTGGGAGCCCC